TTTAATGCGAGTAAACTCACGAGAGAGTTTTGATTTGATTTTGAAGCCATAGCAAAGCGCACAGAACGAGAGTTGGTCAATGAAGACGAAACAGCCACGGATCGTTAATTGTTCATCCTCACTTTCTTCCCTCTCGTATGTACTGTGTCAAAATAAAACCACATAAAATTTTAAAAAAGCTTCAAATACTTCAGTGCTAAACTCACCGATAAAAAGGATTAAACAAAAGTTCTTACCTCGTTCATCATCCTCTTCTGTCCTTATATGCTTCTTCTTCAAGCCTATTTGCATATAATTCGATTGTCAAAAGACTTATAGATTTGAATATGTCATAGATGAAAAAAACCAAAAACAATTATAAGAACCAGACTTTACTTGTCTAATTGTTACTACGCTTGGGTATTTGTCATACCTCGCATGATTGACATTAAAAATTATCTTTTTCCGGTGGAGAAAACAATTTTTTGTGAAAATAAGGTGGGAGAGAAGATATGAAAGACATAATTAAAATATTTCTTGTTTCCTGAATGATTTTTAAACCCAAACCAAAAAAATAAATAAGGGGAAAACGAAAATCCTACATGTTAAGATAAGCTAAATCTTTTCTTACCACTTAATGAGCATTTCATTTATGCTAATCTGAAACGTGGCACTTTGATTTCAACAAATCATTGATAGTCAACAAATTAAATTAATGTAGAATAAAATTTATAAGATTTTTTCCTTTGGTTGTTTGCTTTTTATTTTTTTGGGGAAAGGGGAATCAAAATGATGGATTTTTAAGGGTAACTTTATCCAAGAAACTACTAGTTCAAAGTTCAAACAAGTCAAATAAAAGATTAAATACTATTTCAAACTAGTCAAATAAAAGATAAGTTTGAATAAAAGATAAGTTACGATCAAATTCTTAGATTTTGTTCAAACTAGTCAAATAAAATATAAGGTAGAATAAAAGATAACAAATAAAAGGGGAAACTATATGCATTGCAAGGTGTGGAGCCTTGGCTACCACGAGATATGTATTAAAAAGTCAAACAATATTTCTAAATCAAATGTACTATTCTTCATGATACAATACAAATAGATTGAATATTCTATGAAATGTATGTAAGTACCATTTCATGTTGTGTATGGCTTATTGTCCGATTGATCTAGCGACAACAACACATTTACTTGTGTCTCTTCATACTTAGTGACTGTTCAGTGCAAAAAACAAACAGAAACGCCACGAACTAAACGTTGTAACTCTGAAAATCAATTATAGACCAATACTCGCCCTTAATTGAGTTTCGGTCTTACACTGAGCTTCCTTCTAAGTTCGAAATAGCTTTCAATTTTTCATAGGAGTAGAATGACATCTTTGTCTCCCTCTTGGTAATTTCTTATCACACAAGTTATAAACATTGTCACGTCCCCTCTGTGATATTTTCAGTCACGTTCACGTCCCTTGTTTTTCCAACCTTCTTCCACACACTTTCTTTTAAGTAGCTTTCTTCTTATTTCCTTTTAGTTTCTTCTTGATCACCAAATTTCTGCGTAAACTTTTTCATTTTTGCTTCGGCTATCTCTATAACCGAATTATGCTCTATTTTTCTCCAAGGTAAGTATCCTTTTTTAGGTGTCTTTCTTTGATCACCATAACGTCTCCATGATGTTTTACGCGTGCATCTTATCCACTTTTCTTCAGTTAAATTTTCAACCGGTTTATGCTCTATTATTGTTTGGTGTCTCACTTTGATCACCGTCACGACTCTTCTTCGAACAACCTTTCAAAATTCTCCTTCCACAACTCCTTTGGAGCTTTGGAGATTTCTTCTTAAACGTACTGTATGTGAATGCTTGTGAAGGTTAATGGTATTCTCTCTTGTCACTACCTTATTTTTCTATTTTTCTATTTCTCTTTCTCTCCTCTCGAGCCAATATTTTGCCTACAGATTTTTTGCCGTTAATCAAAAACACCATTAACCTCTACTTGTAAATGTGCATCGATAACGGAAACTCTATAAGATTATTCACCATCTAAACCAACAAATCTCTTAACCTCACATCAAAACTTCAGCTTGGATATGTGTTGTATCATTGTTCTTCTTGCAACTTCTGCTTGGATATGTGTTGTGTTGCAAATTTTTATTTGAATGCTCAAGATTACCAACTCTTTCTATCCCCAAGACTCTATTGTTTTACATTTAATGCTTACGGACTGATGGGAGATCAAAACCCTTACGTATGTTTTCAGAAAGGGTCTATCATTAATATTATATATAGCGTATTTTTTAACTAGATTTTTATTTATATCGTTGATCAATAATTTTGTTTTACACATGAAAAAATATCTGATCGATAAAATTGACACGATCACGTTAGTTATTAGTTTTGGAAACTAATTTTTATTAATAAGATAACTAATTAAGATATAGTACTTTGAGAAAGATAGTTTTGTATACTATTTAAGTAGACAGTATGATAGTTTTGTATCCTATTTAAGTATATAGTATAACGAAAGTTATTTAATAGCTAAAATAGAATTTGGTAAATATTTTTCTATAGTAGAGATTTCAAATTAAATGTTTTACTTTCACGTACACCAAAATGTACACAGTTGAATATGTCAGAATAAATTCTTAAATAAAAATTAATCCGAAACAAAGCATGGCCATTCTAATATCATAAACATGCACCATTAAACTAAACATGATTAAATCATATTTATTTGCTAGCTTCTTAACTTAATAAACAAAAAAAAAACAATGAATTTTCTTTAATAAAAGTTCTAATAAATACAATGCTTAATTATGTTACATATATCTTTTTAGACTCGTGACATAAGACGTATCCTAAACACCAGAGTTGTGTCTTCTTCTTGATTTCGGAACTCTAAAGTAGATGAATCTCCTTTTTTATGCCATTTACCTTACATAATTTTTCCAACCAACTCCTGTAGCTATTATTCCATCTCTTGATATTCGAAATCCCGACCACATCGTCATAATGAAATATCTCTTATGTTAACATCAAATTCAACGTTTGTTTGTGACTCCCTATGTTGATATTGAAAACTGCTGATTTGATGTAGATTTGTGTTGAGAAGATTAATGGAATAACACTTAATTACTTTTGCAATATCATTAAAATAACCATGACTAACAGAAATGGAAAATATCATAATATATGAATCAAATCCATCGACCAAAATCTCTTAATTTCTTTATTTTTAAATTTGGTAGATTCAATTAACAGAATGCAAACAAAATTTGGTATAGCTAGCTTCAGTAAATAACTATCAATTTAAACCAAAACTAAAGTAAAGCTAATAGAACAAGTACATATTTTTGATTGTATTTATGATTAGCTATTGGATTTAATAGTAATTTTGATTTGTATTTAGTGGAAATTTTACCGGAGAAAACCTTGCTTCTACAAACAAAGCTTGTATAGCCATTGGAGAATTACCATACGAGGTAACACCATTTTGCTATTTATTGTCGATGTATACTTGAAGTTTCTCGTTAGGTAAAAACTCGTGAATGATAACAAATCAATTACATTTCAGTTTGGTCCCTAAGTCTCACCAAATGAGATCAATGTTGTCTCTTCCTTGGGCTCGATTATTCAATACGGAGAGGTGATTCTAGTGGTCTTATAAATGAACCAATGTATTATTGGCCATGCATGTCTAGACATGGCCAATAAAATATTAAATTTATAAGGCTGCTAGAGTCACTTCTCCATATTGAATAGTCCAGCACAAGGAAGAGATATATCAGTCACAATTGGTAAGACTTCCTAACCAAACTGAAAGATATAATTGTCACTTGTCATTAACGAGTTTTAACTTAACCAAAAACTTCAAGCATACATCAAGAGCATTGGTGTTACCTAGAATGCTAACTCTCTAATGGCTATACAACCATTGTTTGCAGAAGCAAGGTGTTCTCCCGTAAAATTTCCACTGTAAGGTAAAATTATTTGCTACTAAAAGAATCCAAACAAAATTTGGTTTAACTAGCTTTAGTAAACGACTACAAGTATTAACCAAAACTCACGTAAAACAAATACAATATGTACATAATTTTGATCGTATTTTTGATTTCTATAGACTGGAAGTTTTAATAGCGAAAAACTTGCTTCTGCAAACAATGCTTGTATATCCATTGGAGATTAAGCATACGAGGTCACAACAACATGCTGCTTATTCTCGATGTATGCTTGAAGTTTCTAGCTAAGTACAAACTCGTGAATGATAAGAGCTGAATATATATTTCAGTTTGGTCACAAAGTCTCAACAATTGTGACCGATGTTGTCTCTTCCTTGGGCTCAATTATTCAATATAGAGAGGTGACTCTAACAGCCTTATAAATCCATTTTTTTTTTGCCATGTCTAACTATGCCTCTTTTGTTTTGGTGAAGAAGGCAAAATTTTTGAGGAATGCAATTACATTATCTAAACAACAAGCCAATTGACCTAGCTGTTAACAGTGCTATTACCATGGGATACTAGCACGGGCTCGTACAGACCTCTTTCCACCACACTTGAAGTACTTCATGGAGAGTAAAAAGACTCTCAATCCAAAAAATTAGGTTTGCTAACGTTTCCAATTTCTTGTTTTTTTGGATTTAGAATCATTTTACTCTCCATAAAGTATTCAAAGAGTGGTGGAACGAGGTCTTGACGAACACATGCTAGTCTTCCAAGGGTAATTGCATTGTAAACAGCTAGGTTTATTGGATTATGTTCAAGTAGTGTAGTTGCATTGCTCAAAACTTGTGCCTTATATTAACCAAAAAATAAAGACATAGTTAGACATTACCAATAAAATATTGGATTTATAAGGCTGCTAGAATCACTTCTCCATATTGAATAATTGAATCCAACGAAGAGACAACATCAATCAGAATTGGTGTGACTTTGTGCCCAAACTTAAATATATATTAAGCTCTGGTCATTCACGAGTTTGTACTTGACCAAAAACTTCAAGCATACATCAAGAATAAACAACATATTAGTGTTACCTTGAATGTTAATTCTTCGATGGCTATACAAGCATTGTTTGCAGAAGAAATGTTTTCTCCTGTAAAATTCCACTCTCTGGAAACCAAAAATACAATTAAATACAATAGATAAGCCTAAGGTATGTAAAATACTAAAACCAAAAACATGATGAATTAATAAACTTTTGATTTTGTTTCGACAAGTATTAACTTTCCTAGACTAAACTAGACCAAAAAATAACATTTACATCTGAAACAAGATACACAAAGTGATTCATATGCGAGTGAACTCACCAGAGAATTTTCCTTTGATTATGAAGACATAGCAAAGCGCACACAACTAGGGTTGTTCAGTGAAGACGAACCAACTTCGGGTTATGAATTGTTCATTCTCTGTTTTTTCCATCTCGTACGTACTGTGACAACAAAAAAAATCACACAAGTCAAAACCCGCTTCAGATACCTTAATTTAAAAATCATCAAACTAAGATGATGTTAGTGGTGTTATCTGGTTCAGCACCTTCTTCTGTCCCCTTGTATGCTTCTTCTTCAAACCTATATTTACAACTTACAAGAGAGGAGACTCTTTGTTGGATTTTTACCTGATAATTAAAAAAAAAGCTTTGACTAACAAATGTCAAATATGGAAAAACTCATCATATATAAATCAAATCCATCAAAACAAATTAAAATCTTTAGTTTCGTTTTTTAATTTTAATTGATTGATATAATTAACAAAATCCAAACAAAATTTGATTGGTAGCTGCAATAAAAGACTGTCAATGCAAACCAAAATTCAAGGTAAAACATATAGAACAAGTACATAAGCCTAAGCAAAACCATATTGAACTATTCATTTTGTTTTGAAAAGTATTAATTTTCCTAAATTAAATTGGACTAACAAACCAACAATCACATCTGAAACGAAATGCACAAAGCTGTTTTAATGCGAGTACACTCACGAGAGAGTTTTCATTTGATTTTTAAGCCATAGCAAAGCGCACAGAACGAGAGTTGGTCAATGAAGCCGAACCAGCTTCAGATCGTTAATTGTTCATCCTCACTCTCTTCCCTCTCGTATGTACAGTGTCAAAATAAAACCACATAAGATTTAAAACAAGCTTCAAATACTTTAGTGCTAAACTCACCAATAAAAAGGATTAAACAAAAGTTCTTACTTCGTTCATCATCCTCTTCTGTCCTTATATGCTTTTTCTTCAAGCCTATTTGCTTGTAATTCGATTGTCAAAAGACTTATAAATCTGAATATGTCATAGATAAAAAAAAAACCAAAAATTTTTATAAGAACCAGACTTTACTTATCTAATTGTTGCTACGCTTGGGTATTTGTCGTATCTCGCAGGCTTGACATTAAACATTATCTTTTGCCGGTGGAGAAAGCAATTTTTTTTTGTGAAAATCAGGTGGGAGAGAAGATATGAAAGACATAAATAAAATATTTCTTTTTTCCTGAATGATTTTTAAACCCAAGCCATAAACACAAATAAGGGGAAAAAGAAAATCCTACATGTTAAGATAAGCTAAATCTTTTCTTACCACTTAATGAGCATTTCCTTTATGGTAATTTCAAACGTGGCACTTTGACTTCATATTTAATTTGATTTACTTAGTCAAAAAATTTATTTCTTTATTTTTTATAGTTAACAAATTAGATTAATGAAGAATAAAATTTATAAGATTTTTTTCCTTTGATTGTTTGCTTTTTTTTTGGGGAAGGGGCAATCAAATTGATGGATTTTTAAGGGTAACTTTATCCAAAAACTACTAGTATAAAGTTCAAACAAGTCAAATAAAAGATTAAATAATATTTCAAACTAGTCAAATAAAAGATAAATTTTGAATAAAAGATAAGCTATGATCAAATTCTTAGATTTTGTTCAAACCAATCAAATAAAAGATAAGATAGAATAAAAAATAACAAATAAAAGGAGAAAATGCATGCATTGCAAGGTGTGGAGCCTTGGGTTTCACGAGATATGTATTAAAAACTCAAAAAATATGTCTACATCAAATGTACTATTCTTCATGATACAATACAAATAGACTGAATATTCTATGAAACGTATGTAATTACCATTTTATGTTGTGTATGGCTTGTTGTCCGATTGATCTAGTGACAACAACAAATTGACTTGTGTCTCTTCATACTTAGTGACTGTTCAGTGAAACAAAACAAACAGACACGTCGCGACCTAAACATTGTAACTCGGAAAATCAATTATCGACCAACACTCCCCCTTAATTGAGTTTTGGTCTTACACTAAGCTTCCTTCTTCGTTCGTCATAGCTTTCAAAGGAGTAGAATGACATCTTTGTCTCCTTCTTGGTGATTTCTTATCACACAACTTATAAATATTGTCACGTCCCCTCTGTGATATTTTCAGTCACGTTCACGTCCCTTTCGTTTTCAACCTTCTTCCACTCACTTTCTTTTAAGTAGTTTTGTTCTTATTTCCTTTTAGTTTCTTCTTGATCACCAAATTTCTGCGTAAACTTTTTCATTTTTGCTTCGGCTATCTCTATAACCGAATTATGCTCTATTTTTCTCCGAGGTAAGTATCCTTTTTTTTGGTGTTTTTCTTTGATCACCATAACGTCTCCATGATGTTTTACGCGCGCATCTTATCCACTTTTTCTTCAGTTAAATTTTCAACCGGTTTATGCTCCATTATTGTTTGGTGTCTCACTTTGATCACCGTCACGACTCTTCTTCGAACAACGTTTCAAAATTCTCCTTCCACAACTCCTTTGGAGCTTTCTTTTTAAACGTATTGTATGTGAATGCTTGTGAAGGTTAATGGTGCTCTCTCTTGTCACCACCTTATTTTTCTATTTTTTCTATTTCTCTTCCTCTCCTCTCGAGCCAATATTTTGCCTACAGATTTTCTGCCGTTAATCAAAAACACCATTAACCTCTACTTGTAAATGTGCATCAATAACGGAAACTCTATAAGATTCTTCACCATCCAAACCAACAAATCTCTTAACCACACATTAAAACTTCAGCTTGGATATGTGTTGTATCATTTCTCTTCTTGCAACTTCTGCTTGGATATGTGTTGTGTTGCATATTTTTATTTGAATGCTCAAGATTACCAACTCTTTCGATCCCCAAGACTCTATTGTTTTACATTTAGTGCTTACGGACTGATGGGAGATCAAAACCCTTACGTATGTTTTCAGAAAGGGTCTATCATTTAATATTATATATAGCGTATTTTTTAACTAGATTTTTATTTATATCGTTGATCAATAATTTTGTTTTACACATAAAAAAATATCTAATCGATAAAATTGACACGATCACGTTAGTTACTAGTTTTGGAAACTAATGTTTATTAATAAGATAACTAATTAAGATATAGTACTTTGAGAAAGATAGTTTTGTATACTATTTAAGTAGACAGTATGCTAGTTTTGTATCCTATTTAAGTAAATACTATAACGAAAGTTATTTAATAGCTAAAATAGAATTTGGTAAATATTTTTCTACTGTAGAGATTTTAAATTAAATGTTTTAGTTTCACATACACCAAAATGTACACAGTTGAATATGTCAGAATAAATTCTTAAATAAAATTTAATCCGAAACAAAACATGGCCATTCTAATATCATAAACATCCACCATTAAACTAAACATGATGAAATCATATTTATTTGCTAGCTTCTTAACTTAATAAACAAAAAAACAATGAATCTTCTTTAATAAAAGTTCTAATAAATACAATGCTTAATTATGTTACATACATCTTTTTAGACTCAGGACATAGGACGTATCCTAAACACCAGAGTTGTGTCTTCTTCTTGATTTCTGAACTCTAAAGTAGATGAATCTCCTTTGTTTATGCCATTCACCTTACATAAATTTTCCAACCAACTCCTGTAGCTATTATTCCATCTCTTGATATTCGAAATCCCGACCACATCGTCATAATGAAATATCTCTTATGTTAACATCAAATTCAAAATTTGTTTGTGACTCCCTATGTTGATATTAAAAACTGCTGATTTGATATAGATTTGTGTTGAGAAGATTAATGGAATAACACTTAATTACTTTTGCAATATCATTAAAATAACCATGACTAACAGAAATGGAAAATATCATAATATATGAATCAAATCCATCGACCAAAATCTCTTAATTTCTTTATTTTTAAATTTGGTAGATTCAATTAACAGAATGCAAACAAAATTTGGTATAGCTAGCTTCAGTAAATAACTATCAATTTAAACCAAAACTAAAGTAAAACTAATAGAACAAGTACATACTTTTGATTGTATTTATGATTAGCTATTGGATTTAGTAGTAATTTTGATTTGTATTTTGTGGAAATTTTACCGGAGAAAACCTTGCTTTTGCAAACAAAGCTTGTATAGCCATTGGAGAATTACCATACGAGGTAACACCATTTTGCTATTTATTGTCGATGTATACTTGAAGTTTCTCGTTAGGTAAAAACTCGTGAATGATAACAGATCAATTACATTTCAGTTTGGTCCCTAAGTCTCACCAAATGAGATCAATGTTGTCTCTTCCTTGGGCTCGATTATTCAATACGGAGAGGTGATTCTAGTGGTCTTATAAATGAAGCAATGTATTATTGGCCATGCATGTCTAGACATGGCCAATAAAATATTAAATTTATAAGTCTGCTAGAGTCACTTCTCCATATTGAATAGTCCAGCCCAAGGAAGAGATATATCAGTCACAATTGGTAAGACTTCCTAACCAAACTGAAAGATATAATTAGCACTTGTCAGTAACGAGTTTTAACTTAACCAAAAACTTCAAGCATACATTAAGAGTAAACAGCATATTAGTGTTACCTCGAATGCTAATTTTCTAATGGCTATACAACCATTGTTTGCAGAAGCAAGGTGTTCTCCCGTAAAATTTCCACTGTAAGGTAAAATTATTTGCTACTAAAAGAATCCAAACAAAATTTTGTGTAGCAAGCTTTAGTAAACGACTACATATATTAACCAAAACTGACGTAAAACAAATACTATATGTACATAATTTTGATCGTATTTTTGATTTCTATAGACTGGAAGTTTTAATAGCGAAAAACTTGCTTCTACAAACAATGCTTGTATAGCCATTGGAGATTTAGCATACGAGGTCACAACAACATGCTGCTTATTCTCGATTTATGCTTGAAGTTTCTAGCTAAGTACAAACTCGTGATTGATAAGAGCTCAATATATATTTCAGTTTGGTCACAAAGTCTCAACAATTGTGACCGATGTTGTCTCTTCCTTGGGCTCAATTATTCAGTATAGAGAGGTGACTCTAGCAGCCTTATAAATCCAATTTTTTTTTCCATGTCTAACTATGCCTCTTTTTTTTTGGTGAAGAAGGCAAAATTTTTGAGGAATGCAATTACATTATCTAAACAACAAGCCAATTGACCTAGCTGTTAACAGTGCTATTACCATGGGATACTAGCACGGGTTCGTAAAGACCTCTTTCCACCACACTTGAAGTACTTCATGGAGAGTAAAATTAGGATTTAGAATCATTTTACTCTTCATAAAGTATTCAAAGAGTGGTGGAACGAGGTCTAGACGAACCGATGCTAGTCTTCCATGGGTAATTGCATTGTAAACAGCTAGGTTTATTGGATTATGTTCAGGTAGTGTAGTTGCATTGCTCAAAACTTGTGCCTTATATTCACCAAAATATAAAGACATAGTTAGACATGAGCAATAAAATATTGGATTTATAAGGCTGCTGGAATCACTTCTCCATATTGAATAATTGAATCCAACTAAAAAACAACATCAATCAGAATTGGTGTGCCCAAACTTAAATATATATTAAGCTCTGATCATTCACGAGTTTGTACTTGACCAAAAACTTCAAGCATACATCAAGAATAAACAACATATTTGTGTTACCTTGAATGTTAATTCTTTGATGGCTATACAAGCATTGTTTGCAGAAGAAATGTTTTCTCTTGTAAAATTCCACTCTCTGGAAACCAAAAATACAATTAAATACAATAGATAAGTCTAAGGTATGTAAAAAACTAAAACCAAAAACATAATGAATTAATAAACTTTTGATTTTGTTTCTACAAGTATTAACTCTCCTAGACTAAACTAGACAAAAAAACAACATTCACATCTGAAACAAGATACACAAAGCGGTTTATATGCGAGTGAACTCACCAGAGAATTTTCCTTTGATTATGAAGACATAGCAAAGCGCACACAACTAGGGTTGTTCAGTGAAGACGAACCAACTTCGGGTTACAAATTGTTCATTCTCTGTTTTTTCCATCTCGTACGTACTGTGTCAACAAAAAAAGCACACAAGTCAAAACCCGCTTCAGATAGCTTAATTTAAAACTCATCAAACTAAGATGATGTTAGTGGTGTTATCTGGTTCAGCACCTTCTTCTGTCCCCTTGTATGCTTCTTCTTCCAACCTATATTTACAACTTACAAGAGAGGAGACTCTTCGTTGGATTTTTACCTGATAATTAAAAAAAAAAAGCTTTGACTAAAAAATATCAAATATGGAAAAACTCATAATATATAAATCAAATCCATCAAAAGAAATTAAAATCTTTAGTTTCATTTTTTAATTTTAACTGATTGATATAGTTAACAAAATCCAAACAAAATTTGATTGGTAGCTTGAATAAAAGACTGTCAATGTAAACCAAAATTCAAGGTAAAACATATAGAACAAGTACATAAGCCTAAGCAAAACCATATTGAACTATTCATTTTGTTTTGAAACGTATTAATTTTCCTAAATTAAACTGGACTAACAAACCAACAATCACATCTGAAACGAAATGCACAAAGCTGTTTTAATGCGAGTACACTCACGAGAGAGTTTTCATTTGATTTTTAAGCCATAGCAAAGCGCACAGAACGAGAGTTGGTCAATGAAGCCGAACCAGCTTCAGATCGTTAATTGTTCATCCTCACTCTCTTCCCTCTCGTATGTACAGTGTCAAAATAAAACCACATAAGATTTAAAACAAGCTTCAAATACTTTAGTGCTAAACTCACCAATAAAAAGGATTAAACAAAAGTTCTTACTTCGTTCATCATCCTCTTCTGTCCTTATATGCTTCTTATTAAAGCCTATTTGCTTATAATTCGATTGTCAAAAGAATTATAAATCTGAATATGTCATAGATAAAAAAAAAAACCAAAAATTTTTATAAGAACCAGACTTTACTTGTCTAATTGTTGCTACGCTTTGGTATTTGTTGTATCTCGCAGGCTTGACATTATACATTATCTTTTGCCGGTGGAGAAAGCAATTTTTTCTATGAAAATCAGGTTGGAGAGAAGATATGAAAGATATAAATAAAATATTTCTTGTTTCATTAATGATTTTTAAACCCAAACCATAAACACTAATAAGGGGAAAAAGAACTCCTACATGTTAAGATACGCTAAATCTTTTCTTACCACTTAATGAGCATTTCCTTTATGGTAATTTGAAATGTAGCACTTTGACTTCATATTTAATTTGATTTACTTAGTCAAAAAATTTATTTCTTTATTTTTTATAGTCAACAAATTAAATTAATGAAGAAAAAAATTTGTAAGATTTTTTCCTTTCGTTGTTTGCTTTTTTTTTTGGGGAAGGGGGAATCAAATTGATGGGGTTTTAAGGGTAAGTTTATCCAAGAAACTACTGGTTCAAAGTTCAAACAAGTCAAATAAAATATTAAATACTATTTCAAACCAGTCAAATAAAAGATAAGTTTGAATATGAGATAAGCTATCATCAAATTCTTAGATTTTGTTCAAACCAATCAAATAAAAGATAAGATAGAATAAAAAACAACAAATAAAAGGAGAAAATGTATGCATTGCAAGGTGTGGAGCCTTGGGTTTCACGAGATATGTATTAAAAACTCAAAAAATATGTCTAAATCAAATGTACTATACTTCATGATACAATACAAATAGATTGAATATTCTATGAAACGTATGTAAGTACCATTTTATGTTGTGTATGGCTTGTTGTCCGATTGATCTAGTGACAACAACACATTGACTTGTGTCACTTCATACTTAGTGACTGTTCAGTGAAACAAAACAAACAGAAACGTCACGATCTAAACGTTGTAACTCTGAAAATCAATTATCGACTAACACTCCCCCTTAATTGAGTTTTGGTCTTACACTAAGCTTCCTTCTTCGTTCGTCATAGCTTTCAAAGGAGTAGAATGACATCTTTGTCTCCTTCTTGGTGATTTCTTATCACACAAGTTATAAACATTGTCACGTCCCTTCTGTGATATTTTCAGTCACATTCACGTCCCTTTTGTTTTCAACCTTCTTCCACTCACTTTCTTTTAAGTAGTTTTGTTCTTATTTCCTTTTAGTTTCTTCTTGATCACCAAATTTCTGCGTAAACTTTTTCATTTTTTCTTTGGCTATCTCTATAACTGAATTATGCTCTATTTTTCTCCGAGGTAAGTATCCTCTTTTTTGGTGTCTTTCTTTGATCACCATAACGTCTCCATGATGTTTTACGCGTGCATCTTATCCACTTTTTCTTCAGTTAAATTTTCAACCGGTTTATGCTCCATTATTGTTTGGTGTCTCACTTTGATCACCGTCACGACTCTTCTTCGAACAACGTTTCAAAATTCTCCTTCCACAACTCCTTTGGAGCTTTGGAGCTTTCTTCTTAAACGTACTGTATGTGGATGCTTGTGAAGGTTAATGGTGCTCTCTCTTGTCACTACCTTATTTTCTATTTTTTCTATTTCTCTTTCTCTCCTCTCGAGCCAATATTTTGCCTGCAGGTTTTTTGCCGTTAATCAAAAATACCATTAACCTCTACTTGTAAATATGCATCAATAACGGAAACTCTATAAGATTATTCACCATCTAAACCAACAAATCTCTTAACCACACATCAAAACTTCAGCTTGGATATGTGTTGTATCATTGTTCTTCTTGCAACTTCTGCTTGGATATGTGTTGTGTTGCAAATTTTTATTTGAATGCTCAAGATTTCCAACTCTTTCTATCCCCAAGATTCTATTGTTTTACATTTAATGCGTACGGACTGATGGGAGATCAAAACCCTTACGTATGTTTTCAGAAAGGGTCTATCATTTAATATTATATATAGCGTATTTTTTAACTAGATTTTTTATTTATATCGTTGATCAATAATTTTGTTTTACACATGAAAAAATATCTAATCGATAAAATTGACACGATCACGTTAGTTACTAGTTTTGGAAACTAATTTTTATAATAAGATAACTAATTAAGATATAGTACTTTGAGAAAGATAGTTTTGTATACTATTTAAGTAGACAGTATGATAGCTTTGTATCTTATTTAAGTAAATAGTATAACGAATTTTATTTAATAGCTAAAATAGAATTTGGTAATTATTTTTCTATTGTAGAGATTTCAGATTAAATGTTTTAGTTTCACGTACACCAAAATGTACACAGTTGAATATGTCATAATAAAATTCTTAAACAAAATTTAATCCGAAACAAAACATGGCCATTCTAATATCATAAACATGCACCATTAAACTAAACATGATGAAATCATATTTATTTGCTAGCTTCTTAACTTAATAAACAAAAAACAATGAATTTTCTTTAATAAAAGTTCTAATAATTACAATGCTTAATTATGTTACTTACATCTTTTTAGGCTCGGGACTTAGAACGTATCCTAAACACCAGAGTTGTGTTTTCTTCTTGATTTCTGTACTCGAAAGTAGATGAATCTCCTTTGTTTATGCCATTCACCTTACATAATTTTCCAACCAACTCTTATAGCTATTATTCCATATCTTGATATTCAAAATCCCGACCACATCGTCATAATGAAATATCTCTTATGTTAACATGAAATTCAAAAATTGTTTGTGACTCCCTATGTTGATAATGAAAACTGCTGATTTGATGTAGATTTGTGTTGAGAAGATTACTGGAATAACACTTCATTGAAAATATCATATTATATGAATCAAATCCATCGACCAAAATCTCTTAATTTCTTTATTTTTAAATTTGGTAGATTCAATTAACAGAATGCAAACAAAATTTGGTATAGCTAGCTTCAGTAAATAACTTTCAATTTAAACCAAAACTAAGGTAAAACTAATGGAAAAAGTACATACTTTTGATTGTATTTATGATTAGCTATTGTATTCAATAGTAATTCTGATTTGTATTGAGTGGAAATTTTACCGTAGAAACCTTGCTTCTGCAAACAAAGCTTGTATAGCCATTGGAAAATTACCATATGAGGTAACACCATTTTGCTATTTATTGTCGATGTATACTTGAAGTTTATCGTTTCGTAAAAACAAGTGAATGATAAGAGATCAATTACATTTCAGTTTGGTCCCTAAGTCTCACCAAATGAGATCAATGTTGTCTCTTCCTTTGGCTCGATTATTCAATACGGAGCGGTGATTCTAGTGGTCTAATAAACGAAGCAATGTATCATTGGCCATGCATGTCTAAACATCGACAATAAAATATTAAATTTATAAGGCTGCTAGAGTCACTTCTCCGTATTGAATAGTCCAGCCCAAGGAAGAGACACATCAGTCACAATTGGTAAGACTTCCTAACCAAACTGAAAGATATAATTAGCACTTGTCAGTAACGAGTTTTAACTTAACCAAAAACTTCAAGCATACATTAAGACTCGAATGCTAATTTTCTAATGGCTATACAACCATTGTTTGCAGAAGCAAGGTGTTCTCCCGTAAAATTTCCACTGTAAGGTAAAATTATTTGCTACTAAAAGAATCCAAACAAAATTTTGTGTAGCAAGCTTTAGTAAACGACTACATATATTAACCAAAACTGACGTAAAACAAATACTATATGTACATAATTTTGATCGTATTTTTGATTTCTATAGACTGGAAGTTTTAATAGCGAAAAACTTGCTTCTGCAAACAATGCTTGTATAGCCATTGGAGATTTAGCATACGAGGTAACAACAACATGCTGCTTATTCTCGATGTATGCTTGAAGTTTCTAGCTAAGTACAAACTCGTGAATTTTAAGAGCTCAATATATATTTCAGTTTGGTCACAAAGTCTCAACAATTGTGACCGATGTTGTCTCTTCCATGGGCTCAATTATTCAATATAGAGAGGTGACTTTAGCAGCCTTATAAATCCAATTTTTTTTGCCGCCATATCTAACTATGCCTCTTTTTTTTGGTGAATAAGGCAAAATTTTTGAGGAATGCAATTACATTATCTAAACAACAAGCCAATTGACCTACCTGTTAACAGTGCAATTACCTTGGGATACTAGCACGGGTTCGTACAGACCTCTTTCCACCACACTTGAACTACTTCATGGAGAGCAAAAGACTCTAAATCCAAAAAACAAGGTTTGCTAACGTTTCCAATGTCTTGTTTTTTTTGGATTTAGAATCATTTTACTCTCCATAAAGTATTCAAAGAGTGGTGGAACGAGGTCTAGACGAACCAATGCTATTCTTCCAAGGGTAATTGCATTGTAAATAGCTAGGTTTATTGGATTATGTTCAGGTAGTGTAGTTGCCTTGCTCAAAACTTGTGCCTTATATTCACCAAAAAATAAAGACATAGTTAGACATGACCAATGAAATATTGGATTTATAAGGCAGCTGGAATCACTTCTCCATATTGAATAATTGAATCCAACGAAGAGACAACATCAATCAGAATTGGTGTGACTTTGTGCCCAAACTTAAATATATATTAAGCTCTGATCATTCACGAGTTTGTACTTGACCAAAAACTTCAAGCATACATCAAGAATAAACAACATATTGGTGTTACCTTGATGTTAATTCTTCGATGGCTATACGAACATTGTTTGCAGAAAAAATGTTTTCTCCTGTAAAATTCCACTCTTTGGAAACCAAAAATACAATTAAATACAATAGATAAGCCTAAGGTATGTAAAAAACTAAAACCAAAAACATAATGAATTAATAAACTTTTGATTTTGTTTCTACAAGTATTAACTCTCCTAGACTAAACTAAGAAAAAAAAAACAACATTCACATCTGAAACAAGATACACAAAGCGGTTCATATGCGAGTGAACTCACCAGAGAATTTTCCTTTGATTATGAAGACATAGCAAAGCGCACACAACTAGGGTTGTTCAGTGAAGACGAACCAACTTCGGGTTATGAATTGTTCATTCTCTGTTTTTTCCATCTCGTACATACTGTGTCAACAAAAAAAGCACACAAGTCAAAACCCGCTTCAGATACCTTAATTTACAACTCATCAAACTAAGATGATGTTAGTGGTGTTATCTGGTTCAGCACCTTCTTCTGTCCCCTTGTATGCTTCTTCTTCAAACCTATATTTACAACTTACAAGAGAGGAGATTCTTCGTTGGATTTTTACCTGATAATTAAAAAAAAAAGCTTTGACTAACAAATATCAAATATGGAAAAACTCATAATATATAAATCAAATCCATCAAAAAAAAATTAAAATCTTTAGTTTCGTTTTTTAATTTTAATTGATTGATATAATAAACAAAATCCAAACAAAATTTGATTGGTAGCTTGAATAAAAGACTGTCAATGTAAACCAAAATTCAAGGTAAAACATATAGAACAAGTACACAAGCCTAAGCAAAACCATATTGAACTATTCATTTTGTTTTGAAAAGTATTAATTCTCCTAAACTAAACTGGACTAACAAAACAACAATCACATCTGAAACGAAATGCACAAAGCTGTTTTAATGCGAGTACACTCACGAGAGAGTTTTCATTTGATTTTGAAGCCATATAGCAAAGCGCACAGAACGAGAGTTGTTCAATGAAGACGAAACAGCTTTAGATCGTTAATTGTTCATCCTCACTCTCTTCCCTCTCGTATGTACTGTGTCAAAATAAATCCACATAGGATTTAAAAAAAGCTTCAAATACTTCAGTGCTAAACTCACGAATAAAAAGGATTAAACAAAAGTTCTTACTTCGTTCATCATCCTCTTCTGTCCTTATATGCTTCTTCTTCAAGCCTATTTGCATATAATTCGATTGTCAAAAGACTTATAGATCTGAATATGTCATAGATAAAAAAAAACCAAAAAAAATTATAAGAACCAGATTTTACTTGTCTAATTGTTGCTACGCTTTGGTATTTGTCGTATCTCGCAGGCTTGACATTATACATTATATTTTACCGGTGGATAAAGCAATTTTTTTGTGAAAATCAGGTGGGAGAGAAGATATGAAAGACATAAATAAAATATTTCTTGTTTCCGGAATGATTTTTAAACCCAAACCATAAACACAAATAAGGGGAAAAAGAAATCCTACATGTTAAGATAAGTTAAATCTTTTCTTACCACTTAATGAGCATTTCCTTTATGGTTATTTGAAACGTGGCACTTTGACTTCATATTTAATTTGATTTACTTAGTCAAAAAAATTATTTCTTTATTTTTTATAGTCAAAAAATTAAATTAATGAAGAATAAAATTTATAAGATTTTTTTCCTTTGCTTGTTTGGTTTTTTTTTTTTTGGGGAAGGGGGAATCAAATTGATGGGTTTTTAAGGGTAACTTTATCAAGAAACTACTAGTATAAAGTTCAAACAAGTCAAATAAAAGATTAAATACTATTTCAAACCAGTCAAATAAAAGATAAGTTTGAATAAAACATAAGCTATGATCAAATTCTTAGATTTTGTTCAAACCAATCAAATAAAAGATAAGGTAGAATAAAAAATAACAAATAAAAAGAGAAAATGTTTGCATTGCAAGGTGTGGAGCCTTGAGTTTCACGAGATATGTATTAAAAACTCAAAAAATATGTCTAAATCAAATGTAGTATTCTTCATAATACAATACAAATATACTGAATATTCTATGAAACGTATGTAAGTACCATTTCATGTTGTGTATGGCTTGTTGTTTGTTGTCCGATTGATCTAGTGACAACAACACATTTACTTGTGTCTCTTCATACTTAGTGACTGTTCAGTGAAAAAAAAAACAAACAGATACGCCACGAACTAAACGTCGTAACTCTGAAAATCAATTATCGACCAACACTCGCCCTTAATTGAGTTTCGGTCTTACACTAAGCTTCCTTCTTAGTTCGTCATAGCTTTCAATTTTTCAAAGGAGTAGAATGACATCTTTGTATCCCTCTTGGTGATTTCGTATCACACAAGTTATAAACATTGTCACGTCCCCTCTGTGATATTTTCAGTCACGTTCACGTCCCTTGTTTTTCCAACCTTCTTCCACACACTTTCTTTTAAGTAGCTTTCTTCTTATTTCTTTTTAGTTTTTCTTGATCACCAAATTTCTGCGTTAAACTTTTTGATTTTTGCTTCGGCTATCTCTATAACCGAATTATGCTCTATTTTTATCCGAGGTAAGTATCCTTTTTTTTGGTGTCTTTCTTTGATCACCATAACGCCTCCATGATGTTTTACGCGTGCATCTTATCCACTTTTTCTTCAGTTAATTTTCAACCGGTTTATGCTCCATTATTGTTTGGTGTCTCACTTTGATCACCGTCACAACTCTTCTTCCAACAACGTTTCAAATTCTCCTTCCAAAACTCCTTTGGAGCTTTGGAGCTTTCTTCTTAAACGTACTGTATGTGAATGCTTGTGAAGGTTAATGGTGCTCTCTCTTGTCACCACCTTATTTTTCTACTTTTTCTATTTCTCTTTCTCTCCTCTCGAGCCAATATTTTGCGTACAGATTTTCTGCCGTTAATCAGAAACACCATTAACCTCTACTTGTAAATGTGCATCAATAACGGAAACTCTATAAGATTCTTCACCATCTAAACCAACGAATCTCTTAACCACACATCAAAACTTCAGCTTGGATATGTGTTGTATCATTGTTCTTCTTGCAAATTCTGCTTGATTATGTTTTGTGTTGAATTTTTTAATTGAATGCTCAAGATTACCAACTCTTTCTATCCCCAAGATTCTATTGTTTTACATTTAATGCTTACGGACTGATGGGAGATCAAAACCCTTACGTATGGTTTTAGAAAGGATCTATCATTTAATATTATATATAGCATTTTTTTAACTAGATTTTTTATTTAAATCGTTGATCAATAATTTTGTTTTACACATGAAAAAATATCTAATCAATAAAATTGACACGATCACGTTAGTAACTAGTTTTGGAAACTAATTTTTATTCATAAGATAACAAATTAAGATATAGTACTTTGAGAAAAATAGTTTTGTATACTATTTAAGTAGACATTATGATAGTTTCGTATCCTATTTAAGTAAAAAGTATAACGAAAGTTATTTAATAGCTAAAACAGAATTTGGTAAATATTTTTCTATTGTGGAGATTTCAAATTAAATGTTTTAGTTTCACGTACACCAAAATGTACACAATTGAATATGTCAGAATAAATTCTTAAATAAAATTTAATCCAAAACAAAACATGGCCATTCTAATATCATAAACATGCACCATTAAACTAAACATGATGAAATCATATTTATTTGCTAGCTTCTTAACTTAATAAACAAAAAAACAATTAATTTTCTTTAATAAAAGTTCTAATAAATACAATGCTTAATTATGTTACATACATCTTTTTAGACTCGGGACTTAGGACGTATCCTAAACACCAGAGTTGTGTCTTCTTCTTGATTTCTGAACTCTAAAGTAGATGAATCTCCTTTGTTTATGCCTTTCACCTTACATAATTTTTCCAACCAACTCCTGTAGCTATTATTCCATCTCTTGATATTCGAAATCCCGACCACATCGTCATAATGAAATATCTCTTATGCTAACATTAAATTCAAAATTTGTTTGTGACTCCCTATGTTGATATTGAAAACTGCTGATTTGATGTAGATTTGTGTTGAGAAGATTACTGGAATAACACTTCATTACTTTTGTAATATCATTAAAACAACCATGACTAACAAAAATGGAAAATATCATAATATATGAATCAAATCCATCAACCAAAATCTCTTAATTTCTTTATTTTTAAATTTGGTAGATTCAATTAACAGAATGCAAACAAAATTTGGTATAGCTAGCTTCAGTAAATAACTATCAATTTAAACCAAAACAAAAGTAAAACTAATAGAACAAGTACATACTTTTGATTGTATTTATGATTAGCTATTGGATTTAATAGTAATTTTGATTTGTATTTAGTGGAAATTTTACTAGAGAAAACCTTGCTTCTGCAAACAAAGCTTGTATAGCCATTGGAGAATTACCATACGAGGTAACACCATTTCGCATCCATGAGAGCTGCTCTACAGGCTAAACTTTCTGCCATAAGAGGTGAAGAAACATGCTCACAAATAGCAGAATGGAGAGAAGTATCACCATTGCTGTTTGTGAAGGTCCAACCAAGGCCCGCTGTCTGCAGGTCCTTACGCCAAGCTCCATCCGACTTGCAACTCATGCTAAATTGGTCTTGAGTTTGTCGATTCCTGTGATGAGCATCCGGTCGCAGGGTAGGGGGAGAGGGGAAGGATGACTGTGCCGAGAACCATTCTTTGGCATCTAGAATGGATTTTAGCACAGTTTCCTCCGCCGAGAAATTCCTATCATTGAAAACTCTTTGATTCCTTGACTTCCATAAATTCCAGCAAATCCATGGAGCGAGAGGGCCTGAAGTAAGGCCGACGGGAGGGAGACAGGTGAGCTTTGAAGCTGCAGCTAAACCAACACGCACTTCTACCACCTGCGAGGAGATAAAGGGAGCAGAGAAAGGGACTAGCTCCCACACGCTAACTGCAAAAGGGCAGGCAAACATGAGATGAGTGATAGATTCATCCTCCCCGCAGAAGCTGCACCTCAGGTTGGCCGGGATGTGCCTATGGACCAGTTGCTGACCAGTTGGGAGAGCACCATGTAATGTTTTCCAGAGAAACATTTTCAACTTAGGGGAAGTGTGAACAGCCCACACTTCTTTTTTCCAATCCACATCTCTTTGAGGCAACAAAGGATTGGAGATTGCTAGATTTTCTCTGGCCACATAATAGCCAGATTTGGTAGAGTAAGTACCTAAAGCATTACCCACCCATATTTTCTTGTCTTTTGCACCGAGTCTACTTGGCTTGAGGGACATGATGGAAGCAGCAAAGTGGGGGAGGGTTTCCTGTACTTTGACCTCATCCCACTCCAGGGTTCCTTAAATGAACAGGTCGCATACCTTCAAGTCTTTAAGTGCTCGTGGGGAAGGTCCTGTTGGTTGGACCAGTTTAGAGCAAGAGAGCCATGGATCATCCCAGACCCTGATGGATTGCCCATCACCTAGAACCCAACCCAACCTTTTCTTAAGCAGGTCTCGTCCTGCTAGGATGCTTCTCCAGCCATGAGAAGCTGATCCGGGGCAGATGCAATCCAAGAAATCTGTGGAATGGCAATACTTTCCAAGCAAAATCCTGGCCAGCAAGCAATTAGGATTTTGAAACAGTCTCCAAGCCAGTTTTCCAAGCAGCGCAGCATTAAATCCTTGTATATCCCTAAGTCCCAAACCTCCTTCCAATTTGAATTTTGTAAGCGAGTCCCAAGCTACCCAGCACATACCTTTCTTCTCTGCTTTTGCATCCCACCAGAATCTAGTGAGTGTTGATTGGATGCTCTTACACAGGGAAACAGGGAGGAGGAAGCAAGACATGGCATATGATGGCATTGCCATTAACACACTCTTCAATAAAGTCAACTTTCCAGCTCCCGAGAGGAACTTGTTAGACCAGGAAAGAGCTCGTTGTCTGATTCTGTCCACAATAGAGGAGAATAAATCCTTCTTCTTCCTTCCAAAGTGCTCCGGGAGACCCAAGTATTTTCCTACACCACCTTCTACCCCAATCTCAAGTTCCTGTTTGATCCTTTGTTTTAGCCAGACTGGAGTCTTCCTGGAAAAGGAGATAGAGGACTTCAATTTATTTATCACCTTTCCTTAGGCTTCGCCATATCTTTTTAGGATACTTCTCAGCCCATAACAAGCTTTGGTATTTGCCTTGCAGAAAAACATCGTATCATCAGCAAATAATAGATGATTAATGCGTGGACAACCTCTTGCTACTTTAATGCCAGAGAAGTTTCCGGATTCTTGAGCAGCATTGCATAATCCTGATAAAACCTGACTACAGAGGATGAAGATATAGGGTGAGAGCTGATCCCCTTGTCTAATGCCTCTCAGAGGGATAACTTTACCCTTCGGGGAATCATTAACCAGAAATGAGTAAGTGACAGTGGAAATACACTGCATGATCCAGTTAGTCCATTTGGGATGGAAACCAAATCTTTTTTAGAACCTTCTCAATGAAGCTCCATTCCACCCGGTCGTATGCTTTGCTCATGTCCGTCTTCACAGCCATTGAACAATGTTTTTCAGCCTCTGAGGTCTTTAAGAAGTGCAGAACCTCATGGGTGATTAGCACGTTGTCTGATATCGCCCTTCCTGGAACGAATGCTGATTGAGTATCCGAGATAAGGGGGTCAAGGATTGGTTGGAGGCGTCTTGAGAGGAGTTTGGATATGACTTTGAAGTAGACGTTGCATAAAGCAATAGGGCGGAAGTCTGCCACCTTTTTAGCACATTGAGTCTTGGGGATCAATCTTATAAAAGTGTCATTGAGATTAGGTGGCATTACACCAGAATAAAAGAACTCTTGGATCTCCGCAACAATAGCTGGTCCAACTGCATCCCAGTTTAATTGGAAGAAACAAGCAGAAAAACCATCGGGCCCGGGAGCCTTTCCTGGGTGTATAGAAAAAGCTGCATCTTTGATTTCCTTAGAAGTAGGGGAGGCAATCAAGGCCTGGTTTACTTCATCAGTGATACAAGGTTGAATTGCTTCACAAATAGTCTCATCCAAATCTCTTGAAACAGATACAGGAGAAGCAAAAAGTTTTTGAAAGTAAGAAGAAATCACTTCCCCTATCTTGTCTTCTTCAAACACCGCCGATCCTTCCTCATCTTCAATGACAGAGAATTTGTTAATTGCTCTTCTACCTCTTGTGGCAGCATGGAAAAAACCAGAATTTTGGTCTCCAAGGCAAAGCCAAAGTTGACGACTTCTCTGCTTCCAGAATGCTTCCTCCTCTCTATAAGCTTTCTTCAATGCCTCATTGATTTTTGCAATCACTGCCTCGACCGGATTACTGCTGACCATTGCCGCTTCAAGCTCTTCCTGAAGTTTGGTTATAGTCAACTGACTATTCTTTTGGTTCTCCTTATTCCAAGCCACTAATGCATGTCTGCAGCGGGTGATTCTGGACTGGACAGCCAGATCTTGCTCCTTTAACCAGGTTTCCTCCACTAATTGCTTGACTTCCTGGTTTTCTTTAAGTCGACGGTCATATCTGAAAAGGCCTCTCTTCTTCTTGGGAGTTAATGAAAAGTGAGAAATAAGAGGTCTGTGGTCAGATCCTTCGAACCTCAAGTACTTGCATCTTCCATCCGGGTATTCTTCTGCCCATTAACTGTTTCCCATAGCTCGATCTAGCCTACATGAAACCACATGATTATGTCTAGAGCCTCTCCAGGATAGAGGATTTCCTGAGTACCCCAGATCATAAAGATCACATTCCGAGATGAATGAACGAAACTCAACAAAGGAGCCTTCAGGGCGAAGAGGACCTCCTCTCTTTTCTGAGTTGTCAGTGATGTCGTTAAAGTCTCCAGATAAGAACCAGGGAGCCGCTCTGTTCATGGCAATACATTTAAGAGCATCCCAGACTGATCCTCTCTTGCTTTGGTCAGGGTCACCATAAATGAAGGAAGCAAAGAAGGATTTCCTGTGGCTTGTGGTTTTAGTATCAATGAAATTATCACAGGATGAGATGATCTCCACTTCAACTTCCTTTTTCCATAAAAGGGCTAAGCCGCCACCACCATGGCCATGAGGAGGGACAATATGATGGTGATCAAACCTTAGCTCCTCCTTAGCTTGCAGGATAATGTTTTGTTGATTCTTGGTTTCCATAAGGAAGACAATCTCTGGGGAAAACTGCCGATTCATCTCCTTTAGGCGACGAACTGTCATTGGGTTCCCCAAACCCTGACAGTTCCAACATAGAATATCTAAGGAAGGAGAGCTTGACCGGCTTGAAAATCCCTCTGCCCTGAGGTCCCTGCAATCATTTCCTGTCCCGTAATATCATCGGCCTCCTCTGAGATTTGAGTGCCAGGGGCTAGGTGAGGATCCATGTTTAGCCGTCTTCTTGGAGATGTGTGGTTTAGGAGCAGTTTCCTTTTCTTCTTTGATTTTCCTCCGGGAACAATGCGGGGGCTGTGTTTTTTGCTCTGAGCTTTCCTTGGGGGTCTCCCTACAGGTCTTCCTAACCTTTTCTTAGCTGCAACTCTCTTTTTTGGTCTTGGGGGTGGGATAAGAGAGTTAGTAGGTCCCAATCGTTGAGCTACAGGGATGCGTTCATGGCTGCTGGAAAGTTCTGGGGAGAATCTTTCCTCCGCAGTGGGAGCTGCTACAACCAAGCTGTTAGATACCATTTGTGCTGCAGTTTCTTCAAACTCTCCTAGTGCTTCAGCTTGTCTGATTCTTTCCTTCCTTGCAGCACTCTCTGTAGGGTCAGGGCAGCTTGCATATTGTACCATAACCTCACGGAGTTCTCCCATTGCCACATCAAGGGCTGCTTAAGGAATGACCTGTTCCCTTGGCAATGTAGCTTGTGAGGTTTCCTCGGGGGTTCTGCGGTGTGAATTGGTTACATGTCTCCTTGTATCTTCATGAAGGTCTCTCATCGACCGAGGGGTAGGATTTGAGCTTCTGGAATAATGTCGAGAGCTGCTAGAGAAGTATCTAGGTCCTGGCTCTTTTTCCCGATGAGAGGAGCTATGCCCTACACTCTCCGAAGGATGCCGGGAAGAGTGATCATTGTTGTGAAGGCGACTAGAGGAGTGTCTAGAGCTCTCTCTTACAGGGGAAGATTTTCTAGGTGAGAGGGAGTACTCTTTCCGTCTGCCATGAGAGGTTTCTCGTGATCTGTGGCTTCTAGTAGCGACCGACTTTGCTCTTGTGGGAGAGTGCCTTCGCGCTTCTCTTAATCTTTCAGGACTGCGGCGAGGGCGATCATCACGACCTTTAGGGCGAGGTGGTGGGGGAGGAAGATTCTTCCTAGGCTTTGTAGAAGGACAATCTCTGTCCTCATGATCCATCATATGGCAAGTATGACAGTGTTTCTTCAACCTTTCATATACTAACTCTGCTTCAATCTCTTCTCCATTTTTAAACTCCACAATAGCAGTTTTAACAAGCGGAATAAGGCCATTAATACGAACCCTCATCCTTGCCATTTTTGTAGAAACATCCAGTTGTTCCACAGAGCCAATGTCTTCTCCAATGCTTCTGATAAGATCCTCAGTCCAGAGATGAACCGGGATACGAGTAACTTGGATCCAGAAAGGGATTTCTGAGGGGAACGTTCGAGAAATGGTGGGTTCCCAACGTTGTAGGATGATCATATAACCCGCAAAGTGATACGGTCTGCTTTCCAAGACGAGCTGCACATCTGCTTCTGAATCGAACTGAAATTGAAACAGTCCATGCCCTAGATCTGACCCGAGTGGCCTGGAAAAAGTTTTCCAGTGCTCGGTAAAAAAAGGGAGAATGGACCAAGTCCTTTGGACTACTGGATTGGTTATTCGGCGAATAAGAGTAAGCTTGTGGCGGAGAAGGAGTGCTGAGTTGTCACAATCTGGGGCTTTGATCCTCGGTACTCTTGGAGGGTTGCTTGAGGAGGCGATAGCTTTGCCTTTTTCCGCATAAGAGAGGCGGTGAGTCATTGTGCACCTTTGAGTGAAGGACGAGCCTTGACGTAAACGGGGAGAGCAGAATTTCCGAGCCTTGAATTTGAGAAAGGTTTCTCTCTACCTTCGATGGTGAGGAGGGGAAGTCAAAAGTCTTGTTTAGTCATGGTGGAATGACAGCCATGGGGTACTTTCAGGTCCGGACATGATTACACCGAGGGAACCAGTAGATCAGTGGACCAGAGAGACGTCGGAGATCCCACGCTCCAGTGGTGGGATGGACGCGCCGGTGAAGACGCAGATCTGAGACGCACTCTTCAAAGAGATTTGAATTCTTGGGATGTGTGCCCGAG